TAGTAGATCACGTGATCCGATATACCCTAGCCCACTCTCCCTTATACGCTGAGTAGATCACGTGATCCGATACACCCTAGCCTACTCTCCCTTATACTCTGAGTAGATCACGTGATCCGATACACCCTAGCCCATTCTCCCTTATACTCTGAGTAGATCACGTGATCCGATACACCCTAGCCCATTCTCCCTTATACTCTGAGTAGATCACGTGATCCGATACACCCTAGCCCGCTCTCCCTTACTCTGAGTGGATCACGTGACCTTCAAACTTTAAGATACTATACTCTTTTCGGATTAGGCCTAATAGATATCACCTGACATTATTTGCTATGGATTTGAGACCCAGTAGAAGGGCCCAGTCACGTGATATACGAAGCCCATGATTTAATTGCTTCGCTTCGCTCCGCAATAATTCGGGCTGTCTACAGAGTACTCTATACTCCGTTCGGAGTGCAACATCAAGAACAGCGTGGTGGGCCCTCACTGACAGGCTAAGTAGGCAGCAGCATTAAAAACAGAGTGCATTGACCACGTCTCATTATCGAGGCAGCTAGTGCGAAGGGGCATGGCGGCCGAGGGTCGCCTAGAATTGAAATGGGCGTTCTGTCTGGACATCCCTGATTTTGAGCCAGCCGAAAATCAAACTACCTGGATTACTATGATATACCTATTCCTCGACTATCCAAGCGGCCCAGTTCAAGGTATTTCGTTGAAACCTATGGAGGCTGGTAAGATGAAGCCGTTTCAAAAACGGTCGGAAATCAGGCCTAATTCAGGCGGCAGCGTTGATTTTATTGCGATCCAACCCTTAGTGGTGCATCCCCAGTATATAATTGCACCCTGCAGATCTATCCTCGCGCTGTCCATGATCCTGGCCGCGAAGACTCCGCGAGATCTTTCCACCTGAAAGGTAAGGCGGCAATTCGTCAGTGCAAACAAGACAAACGAAAATGTAAAGAAAGTCGACCTATGAAGGGTCCCGATCACGCAACTTTTCTCAGCAATTGCACCTCGCGTCTCCCATATCTCTCTCATCTGCCTCTACCCCCACGGCATGTCCCATGTCATGCAGTCCCTATACCACTAGGATCGCCAGGGCCAGACATAAGCAACCCAAACCTCACGCATGAAGAGATGCGGATCGTGACGCTATGCTTCCTGGTCTTCCGTGCGCATTTCTGTATCCTAATCGATGTTATGAACTTTGGCTGTTCGTTGTTTGTGTTGAGTGGAGGCTGCCTGGGAAGATCTGCTGTCTGCCCACTGCGTAGTCCGTCCACTGCGTAGTCCGTCCTTGGTTTCCAACGCCTGTAGTCTCTTGGTTGGATATAAGGTTCTGACCTTTGTCCCCTTCCCACAGCTCCCTCCCTAGCCACCTGAATCATGCGACCTATCAAAACAAACATCCATAATCAATAGATCTCATGCCGCTAAGAAATCCTCCAAAGGCACATCGATATCTGTTAAAGCGAGTGTCGTGTAGCCACAGGACTTCAACAGATTCACCTCCACGGATTAGCGGTCGATCTTTCAATGACTCCGGACGATCTGCCCACTGACCTGCAAGGAACTCCGGTTGTGAGAAAATCCAAGATCGCAGCGGAACTAATCGCACCGGGACTCCTAGGGCAGTTCAGTGGACTCCACCGCCGCGGGTAGGGAACTAGAGGAAGGGGACGAAAATCAGGACCGGCTATCAAACCAAGACGGGGTGTGAATTGCGCAGGCCTGGAGATGATAGTGATGTAGCAACTTGATGATACGTGGCACCCCGCGAGAGTGGAAGCAGTTGATGAATAATTGACGGAGAGATGAGAGGTGCAATCACAGAGCGAGGCAGAACAGGGGAATCAACTACCCTGCGCGTGCGGGTGATACGGAACCTGGACCCTGCATTGCTTGACTGCTTACAATTTCCTTTGTCTTATTTGCACTGTCGGTCCGTTTGTGGCCTTACAAAGCCTGCTTTGAGACTCTATCCAGCATGACGGCGTGTGTTTCATCGGAGAGAAACACCTAGTACTGATTTTCCATGATCCTCAGGCACATCTTAATGATTAACATACCTAGGTAGGCAGTAGCAAATGATGCTTGAGGCAAAGTGTTGTGACATGTAGGTTGGTTGATATCCTCACCCTTTGGGCTAGCTACGAGAGGGCACAATAGGGAGCCTGACTACTAAGGTACCCATCGGTATCCCAACAGATACAACTGGCCAGATCGTCCCACTGGATTTGTTCTTGCCGATGCATATTGGATCAGGTTCTCGATCCAGTATGATACAATCGCTACATACTCATCAACGCCGAACGGCGCTTATGGGAACCCCATCTTTCAAACTTGGACACGCGCTATAGTGGACTTTCTCGATGACTTTAAGCTACCATGTATATATATATATGTGTCGAGGCGAAGGTACGATTCGGGTACTCTTCATAGACGATAATATCATCAATCGTTGACTATTTAATCATTTATACCTCAACTCTCACTGCTGCTTCCAAGAGAAGATCAAAATGCCTTGCGGTCTCGCATATATCTATCTACCCATGATCTGGACTTCACCTTCCTTTCTCCTTCCTCTTTCCATCGCCGCTCATCCCACTTCTTCAACCTGAACCAACGCCTCCCGCCTCTCAGCCTTTCTCGTATCCACCACCACCTATCTCCTTTGCTCACCCCGACCTCAAGCCTCCCTCGTCCCGCCTTCTATCGTGTCCTCGAAGCAAGATTCCACGTCCCTTCATCTTGATCTCAACAACCAGTCATGCCGCGCAGAAGAGCTAGATATCTTGATCGCAGCCGTGGTCGTGGTCGAGGCCTTAGGCAGCGACATGGACAGGCCAACCAGCAGGTCAGCTCACTTTCACCTGGCCAGAACCTTCTCGGCACTCATTTCTCTGCTCTGCATTGGCTGTATACGGGATGCTATATTGCGATAATACCTGCTTTATACCCCAACAGATCTTCGAAAGGCGACAAGCTAACTCTATGTGCATTACCAACAGGTTAACCTGCCAATGTGCGACTTCTGCTATATCGCTGGCCACACTCACAACCAATGCCATATCCGCTTTTTATTCGAGGTGGTGGATCGGCTCATTGACCTTGTACGAATTCTCGATCGAGTTTTCCATAATTTACGGGCTAACATATCTTCACTGAAGTGGCCAGATATCACGCCCGCCCAGGTCGCGGCCTTGATCACCGGGGTGATGGCGCGGTCCCAAGATCGTAACATCAACAATGGGTAAGCTAAGTCTGTCTCGATAGCCCTTCATTTCCCTCCTTCCTAATAACTTCCCACTGGGTGAATTTGCTATATACGTGGAACTGCATGTTATAGCATCATATGTGGAATTTTCACTCTCCCGTCATCGTCTTGAACTTGGATTTTCCTTATCCCTTCATAAGCTCGGTCATATCAGACAACTCGATGAGCAAAGCTAACTAAGAATAGGTGGTTTTGAATCTAGTACATTGACCGCTCTTCGTCTCTAAGCTTCTTACATGATACGCCAGAATGAGGTTTTCCTAGGCGTAAGCTGAGATAATGCGCATATCAAATATGCGAAATGATCAAATGAACTTTCATATCGTGCAGACCCCATTGAACCGAACAATGCCTTAACCTATACTGATTATGAGTATTCCGGTGAATCTTGACACCGAGCTCGCACAAAAGCTCAAATTAAGGTTATCATGGGCTTGGTTGAATCAATCTTGATGAGACCTACGGAAAGGGGGCTCAGAGAGAGAGAGGGAGAGACTTGTATTGGAAAGGAGACGGGGCTCCCTACTATCTACCTTTCATCTGGACTCACGTTCCTTTTTCCTACTTGTTTCCAACATCCCTGATCCTCTTTCCTTGCCTCGTCCTTCATCTCACCCAAACAAGACCTCCACATTCCTTATCCTGCTTCAAACTCCAATCATCCCTAGAAACGAAGGTGGACGTCGTGACCGTGGCCGCGGCCATGATAGGGGCGAAATACAACGTCATCTGCAGATTACTCATGAGGTAAGTGGTTCGTCCCCGGGCTTCCGGTTGTTGGGCCCCGAATTATCGCCCCATTCTGCGCTTGTTGTAGTGTTAGGGTTTACGTCTGTCCCATCTCTGTTCCAGAAAAAGGACCAACCTTGATCAGAACTACTATCACGGTTGATACGACAACACTACATTGTGAGATAGTCTGCTTCATGCCTCGACAAATATTCAAGAAGCAATGGACTAATTCTGTGTATCTAACCTACAGATTCACGTACCCATTTGCAATTTTTGTAATCCAGCTGGTCATATGAACTAGCGCTGCCGGGTCCGCTTCCTCTTCGAGGTGGTAGACGAGCTCATAGCGATGGTATGTATATCCCTACCAAATTCACCATGGTGTACGGGGCTAACATATCTCTCTTGAAGTGGCCAGATATCACCTCAGCCCGAGTAGCTGCCCGAACCATTAGAGCCATGAGACGCCCTGGACATGGGCCGGCTTGTAATGGGTGAGCTCTTTCTATCTCAATTTCGTTGTGTATTCCCGGGTGTGTCTCCTATACACGCGGAATTCCATTCTACATCGTCATGTATGAGAATTCGATTTGTTCGGCACCAATTTGAACATGCTTTGTCCCAACGCATTCACGAGCTCAGCTACGATACACATAAGGGATGACCAAAGCTAACTCTCGGTAGCCGGCGTTAACGCACCACACCAACTCCCCTCGCCCTCCAAACATGCGTGGAGGGTCAGAACGATATTTTGCCCCTCCGCCCAGTGAGATGATCGGCGCACGTTCGAATGGATAGAATGAATATCCAGATTACAGAGACCCCGTACATCATATGAATGCGCTAGTTGTATGTGTATGTATGTTAAAGTAGAGATACTTTCAACGGAAATCAGGCTGAATGATTAGTAGAAACCTTGGATATAGCGCGTAAATGGATTCCTTTATATGACTATATCTCTATTCCCGACATCTACAACAGTTAACTAATACTACTGCGAGCCCAGCAAATCAGAAAGCTTGTCCAAGTAAGCATGAGGCCTAACGTCTCCAGAAACAAAGTCATCCTTGGAAGAAACGCCGGTTAAAACACCAAGTGTGCCGCCAAGCTTTCCCTCAAGTCCGAAACGAATATCCGTGTTGGCCCGATCACCGACCATGCAGGCCCGGCTCCGATCAAACTTAAACTTGCCCTCAATGGAATCCATCATGGCTTGACTAGGTTTCCCAAGTGCAACAGGCTCCTGATTCAACATCATAATCAGCGGTGCACTCATAGATCCAGCACCGGGGAAGAGAGTCCCGGAGTTCGGCAAAGTGGAGTCAATATTCGTGGCAAGGAAAACAGCTCCGCGTCTGATGTAGTGGTATGCCAGCGCGATCTTGAGGTAATTCATGTGAAAATCGAGGCCAACGAGGACAACACCGACTTCGGGGTCCAGCATGGATTCATCGCCCGCGGCGATCTTCTTGTAGTCCTCGGGCGTAACGTCGCGGCGGTATGCGGGGTCTGTGCCGCCAATGAAGGGGACATTCTCAGAGCGGAGTTCTTGCTCAATGCCTGTCTCGCCAATCACGTAGACTTTGCGCTTGTTTTCGGGGAGTTGGAGGATGCGGGAAATGTATATCGAGGAACTGTACGAGGAGGAGAAGATTTCTTCCTGCTTCGTTGTGAGTCACGGGCGTCTGATATGATGGTGTGCGATACTACTGACCACTGTGCTGGGAATGCCCAAGCCTTCAAGCTTCTTGCGGTAATCTGCGCGCGACTTGGTGCTGTTATTCGTCACGAAAACGACTTGCTTTCCTGCGACGGTTGTTAACTTCCGCTTTTGACTGACGTGATGTTTGTTGCGCACCATTGTTGCGGAGAAGCTCTAGTGTCTCGACCGTTCCAGGGAAGAGGTGGTCACCGGACCATAGGACGCCTAAATTATCGATATCTCAGCTGTTGTTGCGATGCGGGTGTGTCGCTGCGGGGAGATGCGGTATGAGGGGAGACGGAGAAACGGACCATCACAGTCGAAGAGGAATACCTAAAGATGACCCAGTTAGTAAGTGTGACCTCTCCGTATCACCATGCGATCAAAGATGGAAACCAACATCGAACTTGGCCAGGAACTCCTGGAGACCGGCCTTATCGCCGGTCAAGTAGCGGGGTACGATTTGAGAGGTTTCTTGCGTCATGGTGCAAGAAGTGCAAAGATGCGCTGGTACAATGTGAGCAAGAGGAATCTCGCGAAAGTAACAGAGAAAAGAAGTCGGACTTGAGCCGGTCGGAGCAATGACAACCGTTGACAACAGTCCGTACGACCCGAAGCGAATCTCCGGTGAATCGCGGGGCGGGATTCCGTTTGTCTTGGCGTTGATCACTATCTACACGGTCAAGGAACGACTTCTACACAACGTGCTTTGTTTTCAGTTGCTCTGCTCCTCATTCTCTATCTCCGGTTGGTTTGCCTTGTTTCGGGAGTTTGTGCTGCCCAATCTCTGCCAGACTCACATCTTTCAGCCGCAATCGCTTCACAGGAGAGCTGCCTCGGCTTCTTCGTATCGCCCTTTTAGGGCAAAGTTTACGCAGGGATAATTATATCTTGCAAGCGCTCTAGTCGCCTATTCGCACCAAAAATGCTCACGCGAAAGCCTGGCCAGTGTTCAGTGATTTCAGTTATCCACTACCCTATGAACTAGGACGGAGCGAGGGGGATGATCGGCTTGAAGGGTCCTTTGGTCGAGGTATTGATGGTCTATATGTATGCAATCTCCATGTATGTAGATTCTATTAACCGAGAGTGTGAGTTTTCTATCAGTATCCCAGTCACCGGCTCGCTGATAGTACGTCAACTGCCTATTTAGGTGTCGAGGAAATACCTACGTGTAGGTAAAGTGACCTCATGAGTGCCCAGCTTCCTTTTCTTCTTCGTCTAATCACGATGTTCTATCCAATTTTATCATAGACTTATCACATTTGATATTCTTCATCAGCGGATAGTTGAGAATAGATTATTCAGATGCCTGCGTGATTTATCATATTTTTCTCAAGTGTCGTAAATCAGTCTGTCCGTTGCCTTCATCATCCATCTGCTAGTGTCTCTCTTATACTGTGCGCCACGGCGTCACAACCTTGGAAGCAACTTCTCGTCCGAGGTGGAGATTCTCGGTTAATGAGCAAGGTTCCGTCGATATTTGTCCCCAATACACTACCATGCATCCATGACAACACAATCATTCTTGCGGTCACACATCCAACCCTTACAACTGCGAATGCAAGAAAAAAGACAATGTCCTCAAGACCAAAACAATCAAGCAAAGTCAATCTTAATTCACGCATGTGATGACACACCCGATCAAGCTCCGCCAGGCAAACTCGTATTCTTAGGAGGGCTCGGTAGAAGGCTGCAGCAAGATGGATTCCCATTCAATTTACCATTTGGTACAAGCAGGAGCGCAATCCACGAGCTTCGTATATCAAATTTCAAGAGCGGTGGCAGCTGCTGAAATACACAGGCCTATACCAGATGAACAACAAATGGGATAGGACGGTGGATGTTACATGGCGTGTCAACCATGGCGATGCCATGAGAAGCCCACGTGTCTATTATTGACGATCTGATACTTTTTCGTGCGTAAAATTCGAATACAAATATATTTCACAATTAAATTTGGTAATATTTTGCATTTATGGAAGATTTGCATCACTAAAAGCCGAAGTGAATTGCTTGGCGGCGCAGCCAAGCATATGGGATGGAGATATATAAACAACCCAATATATTTCGACTTCAACAGACGCACGAACCTTTTCCTTCATACAATCTTCTTCCGTACCTGTCGATGAGAGCCCCAAGTAGGAGTCTAATCCTAGTATTTTTTCAGTCTCATTTATCTTGAACCAGGAATTAAAAGCCAAGGTTGAGAAATATTGCCATCATAGCGCACAGACAGAAGTTCCACGAAAGGTTGACACACAAGAGAACTCCCATACTCGTATTTACACTATGATGGGGTCTTCTACAACGGACCTATCTACGTTTTACCTGTGCTTTACTCTTTGAAAGACCCAGTCTCCTGGTTTGCGAGTCCTGGTACCAGAACTAGAAATTCGTCACACTACGATTCCTCCCACAGCGGACCATTTCAACGCCCCACTTTGTTGGCTACTTGACAAGGGAAAAAAACAAAAAGACAAAAAGAAATGGACTCGCGGGGAATCGAACCCCGGACCACTCCCATGCTAAGGGAGTATTATACCACTAAACCACAAGCCCACTTGATTGGTGTAGGTCAGCATTTATAGCTACTTGAAGGTGCAGCGCTCGAGGAACATGAAAATGCAATAGCAAACCCTCAATTACATTTGTTGGTACTAGGTAGGTGTAATTAAATCACTAGCAACTACTTTACATTAACACTCACGTAAATTACCCCTTACGGTGCTTGCAGAAAATTGTCCAGTTCACAACAGATTGTCGTAAGCCCTAACATCATTCTGCATCTCCTCGCCCTTCCTAGCGGTGTCCTTGAGTCGGTCCATGTCATTCTCCTTGTGTGGTTCGTCCTCATGGTGAGGCTCATGGGTTTCCTTGTCCTCATTGGGATGCTCCTTATTTTCGTGGTGATCACGGTGGAGCATTCGGTCCATGAAGTCGCTAAAACTTCCTTTGCGTTGGGATTTGGGTTCTGCCAAAGCCATCAGCCTGAAGCGTGTGGTGATCTAAGAGAAAATATACGTTGAGACATGGCGACGTTGAAGTTGTATAAGTTAGATCGAGTTAAAATGGGATGACCATTCGATACTGGTGATAGTCGGATCTTTGCAGGATGTCGGAGAGCCATAGTTGAGGTGGTTTATATAGGACTGAGCTTATAATGGAACCGTCGTCATTCTAAAGGTAATTGTAGTCCGAAAGCCAATACAAAGCCTATTGACTAAGGTTATTCTCCCACGCTTTGGGTCACCAGAAATGAGCGCGTCATCGATGGGCAGTGACCATTGAACAATTACGCATCTGCCGTGGAGTTGTTCAACTTGCACAGCTCGCCGAATGGATGTTTTTATTCACTTTACCCCCGTGAACCAGTCACACAAAACATTTAATCATGCCAAAATGTACCCAGATGAGATGTAATAAACTTCTAATGGAGTGTTATGGAATATGTGAATTCTTTTCCTTTCTGTCCTTCGAGAAACAGTGATAAATTGAGGACAAAAGTCATAAATCGACGGATTTACCTCCCAAAAAGCAGCACGAAGATTCCCTCGCAGGGAAGCCATGCGATACTATAGCCAATCTAATTTACGGCACGTGGTTCCTTGGGACCTAAAAATGCAGCATGGCCTGAGCTTACACTCATCTGTGAAAACGAGTCCCGTATCTCCAAACAGGTCGTCGTCCACTCCCATGTAGCAATTTCTGATGGCCCAAATAACTTGACACTATATGCCAAAGTTAGCACGAGGACCAGACAGGGGAATATCCTATTTCTCACCTCATTGTCGCACTCATCTTCTTCGAGAGGATAGTAATCACCCATATCACAGAAGGGCAAATTGAAGCCGGAAAACTTCGCCAAAGTGTGCTCGCCTCCCCTCATATGCTCGATGGTCCGCTCGGTGTTCCATTCATAGTAAGCATTGCCGTTGTTCAATGTCGCTGCGTGTTCAGATGCCTTTGCAACAGTCTCAATGTCGAGCCTATAGGCCCCAAGCTTATCCAAGCCTTTGAGATCCTTCAAACTGTCCGCGAGGCCTTCCTGCCACGGCACTTTATACTTACCCCTGTCCCAGCCAAGTAGGAGATATGCGTTACCTTCGCTATCGCACCACTTATTTTCACTGAAGAAATTCTCATCCTCACAGGGAGGCACACTTGTCACCAACGTATTGTGGGGAACTCTGACAACATTCGCGGCTTCTCCTTTCCAAAGAATGGAGATTGCGGCGCTAAACAAGGAGATATAAATCTCATCGGGAAGTCGTTTGACGGTTCTTGGTTCGGCAAAGTCACCGTTCAGGAGGACGTTCGGGAGCGACTGAGGATCGTCGACGTAAAAGACGCCATTCGAACGGTCGTTGGAGGGGATCTCGTTTAGAAGCCACCGGGAATATTGCTCAATGCTGTTCTGCATAGACTGCGAAGAATTTGCGATGTAACTGGTGATCTCGGTAAAGTCGTTGAACTTCGGCTCCCTATATGAACGAATCAGACATATGAGAAAATCCAAGGATGGGAGAACGTCATCTTACAGCTCAGCAGACTGCCTTTCATTCATATGCGTGAGGACACCACCTGCGATAGTTGCAAGGCCACTACCAAACCCTCCGATTGCTGAGGCTGCCGGTACAAGCGAGGCAACACTACCCAAGATACCGGCAGCTATGGCAGCGCCGGCAGTACTGAGCGGCTACGAGTCCATTTAGTAAATAGCAAAGGGCGAAGGGTGATCTGATCTTGACTTACTATGTTCTCCATGTTTGTAGCAAAATTGTCGACCAAATCAGCAGCTAAGCCATCAGCCACACTGGCTGTAGATTGGACAGCTTCCGCGAGCGATACCATCCAGTTGTTCAGATTCGCAATTGACCACAGAAGGAAGTATAGCCGAGGCCTCAGAGTATGCCCTCCCTCGAGGCATAGATCTTTCTCGAAGTTCGCCGCACATTGGTTCAATGGGGAACAATAAAAGCCATAAAGGCTGTAGTCATCTTCCCACGATTGGATAGTCCTTTGGATATCCTTGTCGTATATATCTTCCGCATTTGCCCTTTTGTTCTGATCAGTTATCAATCCCTAATCGGATCTAGGGAAAGGAAACATACATCACGACAAACCACTCGCCGAGCTCTGATTCTTTCCAGATTTCCTGTGACTTTCCCGCAATGCCTGAGCATGTTTGGTTCCAGTTAAACGGTTCCGGCATACTCTGTGGCAATGCATTGGCTCCCACGACTTTATAAGCACAAGTGTTAGCTACAACACCGCGGTGTAATATCATGATAAGAAGACAAACCAAGGGTCGTTAGAAATGCCGAAAGAAACAGCATTCTAACTGATAGTTTGTGTAGTCCTGTAATAGAAAGGCTCAGACAGCGTGCTGAGGACGATACAATGATAACTTTTCTAGAATCCGCAAGTAAACACTGCCAATTTATAGGACATTTCCTGGGGATCGTTGGAATATGTCATTTCTCAGCCCCTATCCATCTTGCTCTCTTCGTCGAACAAGAGTACGCAATGAAAAAGATCGACATCAGCAGACTGAGACGTGAGAAGGGCTGGGCAAAGACTGAGAGCCCAAATAGCACATGTCGCGCTGAGCCATATTCCACTTTTAGAAACGGCATCCCATATCTGCTTGAACAAAGATTTTCTTTGGTTAGCATCCCCCACTGTGGGCCTAAAGGTAAGTGGGTGTACTCCGTGCAAATAGTCAGAGCACTATACAACTTGCCCTGCCAAGCCCGCTGCAATCCACTATCATATTTCAGGCGTCTCGAGATCATCCCATCCGTGATATAATGATACTAGTAATATACGCGTAGTGAGACGCATAGCGCTAAGCCGAGATCCAATTTCTGAGCGTGATTGAACACAGGGGAGAATTTTGCTCATCGATGTACTGCAATACTCTGCAAGTGACCTTGATGATCTTGGACATGCCGCTGTATTCGTAGTATTGATAACAAGCTCCCCCTGATAGCGAAGATCAAAAACTACCTCTCAGCTCATCAGCCCCTCGATAAATACTGTATCACCGAGATACTCACCATTAAAGCCGTGGTGTCAGCTATTATACACTAGGGCTCAAAAAGCCGTCTTATTTGGAACATGGCTTGAGCGCGAAATCAAGGCTCCCCAGGAACGAATAATTACAAAGAACTCAGCCGAACTTTCCAATTCTGACTCTAGAAGCGCCTGGAACGTCAGTTCAGCCTCACACCAGCCAAGAAACGTCACCTCCCAATGCGTAGGATATAGCCGGGGCGCTACAATTTGCCAAGAAGACTCCGCCCCTCTCCCACATCTAGACTCCACAGCCAAGCAAGTTGCGCCCAGCGCATTGTGTAAGAAACGGTAAGGCGAGCCACTATTGCTCTGTGAAAATTTATCCCTGTCCATCGTATGTTGCATAGGGAGCTCGAAGATAGCGTAGGGCTGGCTGTGCGTGGTATTCAATGTAAGCCAAATTTTGCCAAGAAATTTATATACTCGGAAGCTATACAGCGACCACGCAGAATTCAGGGAGACTAATGGTGTCTTGGAATTGTCAGACAGATTGTCCCTGATCTGGCCTGTATGTACCGATCCCACATGCTCGGTACAAAAGATGCGATTGGTTGGCTTTGTTTGGATGGTCAGATGACCATCCTCTGTTTGTCTCCCTGATCTCTTCCTAGTCTTCCTCCTTCTTCCATAGCATCATCCAGAGAGACTGTGTTTTCCCGGATCTGCCTTCCTGCGTAGATCTCTGACAGGCTTATAGCTCAAACCAGTTAAGGGACTGCGAATCTCCTACTGAACTTTGGACAATATCTCTTGGGGAGAGACGTGTACGTATTACTATCACGAGTCGTGCTGTGATGGATTATTGCAGGCTAGGCTGGGCTGACTTTCTAGTCCGGTATTATATGCTTTGCAGAGGCGATATTGCCTATGTTCGTTTGTGTTTCCCTTGAGCTACCGAGGACACTTCCTTAGACTTTGATCTGGACGCCTTTGTTGTATGACACAGCCGATAACGATGAAGCTACTGCCAGAGGGATATGGGGGGAAATGAGAAGCTACAACTCACTGGACATTGGAAAATTCGGGGACTTTCCAGCCCATGGAGAGTTAGAAACTAACAAAAAACAAGATGCTCATTCTGTCAAAGACAAACACATCGATGAGTCGGGAAGGGGGATTTGGAGATATCTCAACAAATAACTACGTTTCTTCATTCTTCCTCACTCTGAAAAAGTTCAGCGGACGGATTTTCTTCTTTGCTGACTATTCAGAATGATGTTAGGAGTGGGAAACGAACTGGTAGGTTTCGTGTCATCCGTGATATCCCACTTCTCTTTCAACCTCTTCAACCACTTCTTGTCAACCTCCAGCAAACTTCCTCGCAATTTAGCCATAGGCTCGCCGGTAACCCGTCCCTTGAGATAAACTTGGACCATGCCATGGGATGGGTCGCAGACCCGCTTGGAGCTCCCTGTCAGACATGTCACACAGTACGATTTGTCCAGGCAGTCCCTGCATACGTAGAAGGCGAGCCACTTATCCGGTTCACAGCCTAGTTGACCGTGACAGTGGAATGGTATTGGCACGGATTCGATAGTCTGACGAACTTGGGAATCTATCGCATCATTATTTTCCTCGGTCCATTGTATTCTAGTCCTTAGTGGAAGAAGTCCTGCCGCAAAGACTCTCAACGCGTCGGCCTGATCCCCTGCAAGGAGAAGAGCTCTTGCAAGAATCGCATACCCATCTGAATCGTTCAGTGGATCATCATCTTCAAGAATTTGGATCCCCTGGCAGATTTGTGGTCGGAAGAGCGGTTTAAATTCATTGCGTTTGACGCTTTCTCGTTTGCGTCTCCAACGACCGAGCATCATGGCTGCCTCTGCTCTGTCTTCCATGTTTCTGTTGGGAGTGGAGGACCCGCTTGGTACTCCAGCTAAAGTCTCGAGCTTTGCGACCCACTTCTGTGTGTCCCGTTTGGACTTTGATTGGACCGCATTTTGGTAGTAGACATCGGAAAGACCTCGACATTGAAGCTGCTGAGCGTAGCGATCTGTACCTTCGGATTCAGGCTGAGGGGATAGTGCTTCCCAGATACGCAAATGTTCTTCGCCACTAGGTGCATGGCGGGAAAAGAACAGTCCTCGTTGAAACTCCTCCCAAACCGACCCCGGGACATCATCTTCTTGTTTTGCTGTCTGAACCAAGGAATGGAAAACCTTTTCAGGGAAACGGCGGCAGTTCTCATCAGTTCCAGCCATCTGGGTGAACATATCATGCCCCTCTTCCCAGCCCAGCAATAGCTTTACCAAGTCACTGGGCCTTGACTTTGAACTGTGAAGGTTTTCACAAAGCTTCCAAAGCGTGTTCCACTTCCTTGCCCTCCCGAGGGCTGAAAAGTAGGTTGCCATTTTTTCGAAATCTAGTGGGTCAAGCTCATGCGCTTGTTTCGCAGAGTTGATAGCGTCAGAGCTCCTTCCACGCACCATCTGCCAACCATACAGATTGAAGTAGATGTTACTCTGACATGTCGTATCTGGCTTGGGGTCACATTCCAGCGCCTCCGATGCCTTTTTGATAGCATTCCGGGTATCACCATCGGCCGCAAAAGCTAAGGCCAGTCCGTTCTTGGCCATCCAGTTGGCTGGATCCTTTGCTTCAGCATTACTAAAATGCACCCGAGCTTCGTTTACGTGTTTCGCGTCCATCAAAACGGTTGCGACACGCACATGCCAGTTGGAATTTTGAGTTGGTTCGGTATCCCCTTCGCTCACGGCGTTGCTGGCTAGATACATGACCTCGTCGCTGCTGAGTCCGGCAATTCCAGTTGGTAATCTATCGGTTCGAACGGAGCTCGGTAGATCTTCCTGGATTGTAGTTAGATCTCATTGAATGGTAGTTTAGAAACAATTTGGAAATGCGGTAATCTCAAGGGCAGACTCATGACACCGGGGAATTGTGAGAATATGAAGACCTACCAATCGGTTATAACGGTATAGAAACAAAATCTCAAACTCAGTGTTCATGTTTGAACCTTGAGTCCATTCTTGCTTACAAAACCGAGCGAAAGTTGCGTATAAAGTGCGAGGGGAAATATTCGACTCTGGGTGCTCCCATTGTTTGATTCTCTCCAGCACCTCATCGTCAGCGAGCAGCAGTTTAATTATGTCTAGGAGTCTTCCTTTGGATATCGAGTTGTACCAGCGCCGAATAGCCGAGGGAGTCTCGAGAAGTTGCCGAATTTGTCTCGCCAGGCCTCTCTTCTTCCTGGATTCTAGAACGGCATCTCTCCTCACAGCGCGGAAGTGGTCGATGACATAGTCCGCTGCATATGCGATAATATCTGGATTTGTAGCCCTTGCATGCTTGGGCTCATCTTTGAGAAGTCGCTGCAGGCATACTTCGGCAATAGCTGCATGGGCACTGCTTTTGTGAACGGCATACTCACTGTCGAAATCGCTCAGCCTGATATGATCTTCTTGCACCAGATAATCGCGTACAAAGCCATTACTGAGCTCAACCAAAGTTGATTCGGTAGGAGAGACAGAAAATTCAGAGGTGAAAGTGAAGATTCTTTGGTTCTCTATTTCCAAATCTTTCGACGGGACCTCTTCTGGCAATTTAAGAGTGTTGTCATTGAGATCGGCATGGCGAACGAAGAGTACCTCATTGACTGTGAGCATGCGGTATGCGCACGCTATCCATTGCAAAGTGGCTTTCCAGTTTTGTTTGGTGTAGATGGTGGCATCAACTAGTTCCAAAATTTCGCGTACATGATGTGCAATATCTTGAGAGACTGGAAGTTTCAGAAATGAGAGTAACTGAGTGGGAGTGGTGTAGGCCTGGGCCTCAGTTACAACCAGTTCAGCTAACGAGAAATCGGTGTTAATGTCCTTTCGTAAATGATCAATTGTCTCATTTTGAACATCCGTTGTTAACTCTCCGAACAGAGGTATTCGCTTTAGCTTACTGTCGATGAACTTGGCCACATCTTTCCGGATTTTGTCTTCAGGGATGGGAAAGACGCTGCGTTTTGCGGTCCAGATGTTGTGTCTTAACGACAAAGTTGGTCTGGCAAAGATGGCAACATGAAACAGATGTCTCCCTTTGAAATTAGACGTTTGGAGTGATTTCAGCTTGGACAGTAGAATGTCCTGCTCTAGGGGTGGAGCTGCATCAAGACCGTCGATGACAATGAATGTTCGCCAACGTCGATGGCTTTTCGAAAATGGCTCAAATAGCTTTTTCCACAGGGTGTCTGCGTTTAGCTCCAGTTTTGTGTCGCTCAGCACCTCGATAGCTAGCTTTCTGAACCCTTCACTCTTCTTGAGAAGCTGCAATGCAATGGATGCCAAAATGGACGACGCCAGGTAATCTCCTTTCTCGTGGCGTTGGACATAAAAGTAGGTCGTGATGCTGCGGTCCTCTTTGTAGAGTCTCCGTATGAGGTGGGATGCAGCGTAAGTCTTCCCCGTTCCTTGCTCGCTCTTGAGCCAGATCATAGCGCTCTTACTGCCTCGCTGCTGGAGACTTATCCAACGCTGTACCTCGGGCTCATCGGCAACCCAATCTGCATTGATCCCGTCCTTCGCGGAGCTTGTGATCCTATAATGAATTCGTTTCATCGTGTCCAACAGCTCCCCCTGAAGAATTTTGTCGAGCCGTTTCTCCTGCTCATCCTCATTCAGTTTACTCGCAAGGTCCTGAAGTCCGTTCCCCATCACAACCACAGATAAGCTATTTTGGTGCTGTTGCATCTTTTTCAATGCCTCCATTTTCATTTCAATCGGAGTTCCCTTGCTCAATAACGGCGGTAGAATATATTGCTTGGCAATGTGGCGCTTCTTCTTGGTGTCTCCAATGACTTTGCTTGCCAGACCAAGGATCTCTATAATCACACCCATCATATTTTCAATTACCTCTCTCGCCTCTGGTCTGATGGTTCTAGCTTCACCATGAATGGTCAAGCAATCCATCACGCCGGCAATATCGGAAAGAACGTCACCGATTCCACTGTACGCATCGATCGCTTGATTTGCCACCTTGACCAAGTGTAGAGTTGCACCAAGAATCAAGCCTGCTGGGGCAAAGGGGGTAAGTGAGATGGCAGAGCTCGTCGCTACCCCCAGACTATCGAATGGCTGCAATATGCGAGATATAGAAGGCCATATTGATGCACCTTGCTGAGTATGAAACTCAGCGTTTGCCTCGCGTACTTCTGCTTTGAACCTCTCTAGATCTTTTGTGAAATTCGGGGCTGTTGTATCTGTGCGCAGGCTGTGGTTGGTGTCGGACTCGTATTTCTTGAGACTCTGCTCCAACCCGACCGAGTGCATGGTTGATGTTTACCATAGGCAGGCGTATCTTTTGTAGCTCACGTTCAAGAGATGGAGAGGTGTCTGAAGAAAGTCAATAACCGGAAGTTCCAATGGTGAGATGGCGCCCAGGTGAAATGAGAGGCTGACAAGCGCGGGGCTGGGTTCAGCCCCGCATTAGGGCACTTTCCATTTGAAAACCGACTGGCATCCCCATATGAGGCACATGGATCGTGGAGTCGACAGCTCGTTGCAGCTGGACTGATACGAAGGAGCATAGCGGCCAACGGTCGCATACAATTCAAATGGGCGTTCTGCCTGACTACGACTCAATCCAAGCTGGCGGAAAATTAAAATCCCCGCATTGCCATGACAGCGTCAATCATGGGGACTGTTTCCAGTACACAGTATGGAGCGGTGCCAAAGGGAGTCTATAAGCAGGCATCGTTCAGGCAGCAACATCGATCTCAATTCTATCCGACCCTTGGCCGCTAATCGTCCCAAGCGCATCAACAGCTACCTGATGGTCGGTGCGCCCCAGGGCTTGCAAAATTATCATATAATACTCTGTCGTATGACGGGTTTTATGAAGCACAGAAACTGCCGCATGGCAAACTGGCGCTCTCTTCCCCTTGCGTACAATAAATTATGAACGAAAACAGGCAAAGAAAGTATGCATTGCTCTCTTGGGATGACTGTATCTCTGAAACATACTAAATAAATACATGCAGCGCAGAAACATCCATCGCCTTCGTCGCATATCTAGGAAGTCTGCCATTGGTTTCTTTTCTGAGGTCGTTGACAAGATCTTCACCCCGTTCATCTCCAGTCACGAGTGAATCGTGGCGATAAAATGAGAGCTATACCAGGGGTGCCATCTTCTTTTCGGTGAAATCGAGTCAGATAATCGTTTTGAACAATTGTCTGATATGCATATCGGTAGTTCAGATGCACATTGCTCAGCGCAATAGCCTAGGAGTACAACCCTAGTATAAAAGCCCATCAGATATATCAGTCCTCGCGGTGGATATAAAGCTTCTATGTGGCCTCGGGAATTAACTATCTGACAGACAAGGCCGCAAACCAGAGTTCTAAAGAAACAGCTGGTAACCGGCCCCTAAAATTTCCTACAAAAATCACGGACAGTTATTTCTTCCTGGACTACTTTGTCGAGTAATTTGAACTCAAGGGAGTTTTCGATTTGTCATGTCAAAGGTCTTTCATCAGCCGAAGCAACACCATGGCAATCTATTCGACCTTATAAGTCTCCTTCTTCTTTTTGGCCATTGCTGAAATCATAAGCCTGTCAAAATGTTCTGCGATATGAAATCCATCATTGTGGATGGATCGCCCACCTCCGCAAACTTCTGGATTGGCAAAGGCTGCAATATAAGCTGATGACTGCAGGAAAACCCGGCCTGTGTCATGTGATCACGGACGACACAACCATGGCTTCCGTGGTATGATTCAGCATGCCGGCGCACCTGCCTATACGGCCTGCACGCGTGTCACAAATACCTAAGCAGGATGTTATCAACCACAAAGAGGATATGGATAAAAAACGCAGCGTCCAGGTGACTGGGGCCGAGCTCTGGTAGACTAACGAGAGATCAACGGCTCAACTGCCATTCCAAGCGAGACGACCCAATACCACGCCATGCACAACGCCATTGCTACTAGTCCCACCGTCAACACGAGTATCCCACTTATCACCTCTCACCTCTATGGATAGATGCACGCCGGAAATGCTTATCCAAAACGCCAAGAGGCTTATCTTTGCTGGTCGCAAAATGTCGGCCAACACTCTCTGCGTGAGTCCTTCGCAGGGTTGACCCCACTTCCACTAACAATAACCAGTATACATGCGCTGCCTCAAGCAAATACTCCAACTCCCCCACGCCTGGCAGGGTATAATACCTTCTTCGGTAGTAAGCCCTCCGCTACGGCAACCCTCCTATGTAGCGATCCCAGCCTCGTAAACCATCCGCCATACACCCTCGCCGACATCATAGAAGCCCTCCCCATCTAGTGCCCAACAGGCTTAAGCCCCCCGCCGTGGTCAACCATCCCAAACTCTCTTCGTCAATGGCAGATAATGGCGCAAATACCCATTCGCGGTCCTCGTTAAGAAGTTCCCCACTATGCGCTGGGAATATCTCTCCAGGAACGCCTAAAGGTTCCATCCCGAACGGCATCTTGCTATATAGTGGTCCCATGGATCCCTACTTTGTCCCGCAAGATGTGTGGAAAACATTCAAGAAGGGGCCGCGAATATGGGCCAGACGTTGGCTTTGACCCAGCTGGAGATTGCCTTGGTGATGACAGTGAGCACGTCTGATTTTGAAAGTGGGTATGAGGAAGGGACATTGATGTATCAGGTTTCGGATGTCACGGCTGAGCCATTACTGGGGCTACCCAACATGGTCAGATTGGTTGGGTGGTACTATGCCTTGGGTTTTGCATTTGTTAGGTTGCGGCATGCATTGAAGTGGGTGTTTCTGCATGATTTCGGGTCCCTAGATATCTTTTGGCAGGCTGATCTCGTACTGCATTTTTCAGTTCCCCACTCGAGCGTTCCGTGTTGAGCCGATCTTGGAAAGCATACCAGGTAGTGGCCTCTTGTTCAGCAATCTCGAGTGGCTAGCTAGGGACATGACACACCATTCCCATAGAGAAGATCAACGCAATGCCAAATGGAACTCTGTCTTTCTCGGTTGCAGGCCGTGCGACATGACCTCGGATTTATGTGATCAGACATGCGGATCCCAATCTAGCCAGGTGGCCAATATAAAATCATGCAGGTGCCCACCTTCGTGCGACACGAGAGAAGTTTGTTCCGCTTTGATTCTCCGTTCCACCTTTTCACCTTACACTACAGCCCCCCACTACGGCCCCCCCACAATTTAACACGGAAGCTAACCGCGGACGGGAGGCCTATTATGACTAATCTAATATCTGCAGATGATTAATTACATACGTCTCCTCGAGGGGTGAATACGCCTATGAATTGGCTAGTTGCAGGCAAACCACGAGCTGCCTACCTGACCACGCGTCTTATTTCATAGTACATGAAAGAGTCCCCCATGGCATATCAACGGAGAGGCATACATCTCTTGTAGATCAACATCGAACTTTGATTGCAATCATATGATTCTCGTTGGGAGGAATCGAGATGGTCATTCTGCCACGTACCCTTGGGTCCACTCGTTCTGTAATATTAAAATTACGCCTATCTAGTGGCGCAAGAGGCGAAAGAGAGCAGCTATAGACGACGATTGTCGATCATAGGACGAAGTCAACCAAATGTGGATATCAGGTATACTCGATGCATGAATTGGAGCGGCATACCTAACTACATGTACTCCGCACTTGGCGGCGTAATTTGCCTCCGATACGCATATTCAACTTCAGCCGTTGCTCCGCCGAATATCTTATAGAGTGTGATGCAGTGGGGTATTCATGGAACACCCCTCATTGAGTCCGAGTGTGAGGGATTTTGTGGTATGAGACCAGCAGTACGTTGAGTATAAATATCTCCAGAGGTTGCGCAGGGAATAGTCGATATCACTCAGGCTTCCTGATTACTGAGCTTCCCATGCCTTACATCGCGAGGACAGCCGAGCTCCCCGAGCTAGCTCTCAATGGCGGGCTCATTGACCCCCGAGCTGAGAAACAGCCTTGCTTTGGGCAACGGATGAACTGTCGAGACCTGACAGACTCCATTTCCAATACAACGAAAATTTCGCCTTTACAATCGAATCCCAGAATGACTGGTGCCAGACCCACCACTCAGGATGTCGAACCCCGCAAGCCGGTCACCGAGTATCAAACCAAACTCGACAGCATCGTCGCCCGCTCAAGAGAGATCGGACAGTCTTCTGGTGAAAGGAATCCACACCAGGCATTATCTGACCTAGTACCGGGGCTGATTGTGAGCGGTGGTCGTAGCCGCTCGCCGGCTTTTGATTGCCTGCCTGTCGTCTCCCATTGGGCTGACCGCACCAACGAGACTTCTGCAGAGGATCCTGCTGCCACCGTCCGGCTCTCTTCGACATGGGGTACTACTCACGTCGTTGGCGAAGGAACCACCATGAATTGTCCTCTCGGAGCCCCTTGCTGGTCGCTCAAGTCACACGGTATAGGACTACCCGAAGCTGGGTCGAGTAAATTCTCTCAGCAATACGTTCCTGAAACGGATACGCTGACAACAACGGTCGAGTTGGCACGTCGTCTCGACACGCCCAAAACTGAGGGGGTTCTCGCAGCTGCCGCAAGTATTTCCTGGATGCGTAACGCACGTGTTGCAGACGCCGTCGATTGTGCAATTGGGCTTTTAGCCGATGTGTCTGTTCTCTTGGAGGCCCGTGATAAAGTGATCACCACTGGAACGACCGAGCGGCTGCCGTTTGCAGAAGTGAAAGGGGCCGTGTTGCCGTCGTGGTGCTCTGCTCGCAAACCCCTTCCTCCGAAGTTGAGTGGAGTGGCAATTTCATCAGACGATGTCACTGCAAACCTCCTCGCAGCAGAGGGCTGTGAGGGTCCTCTGCTCAACACGAGCATTTTCTCTATGGGAATTGGCTATAATCGGGGCGTCTATGGCGGTTCGATCTCTGGCCTGTGGGCTATCATGGACTCCGGATTTGTCTTGGATTATTCTATCGGCATCAAAGACACTGAGATGGCAGAAAAGCTTTCCTCTGCCTTTTCGGATGTAGCTGCGATTGCTGAAATATCTCCCTCAGCTGGCCCGCATATGACTGATATCCGGGTCGTCAAGGGCTGCAACTATGGATGCTTACGCCAGAAGACCATCATCGAGGATGCCCACCCAATTCCCTCCCGCGGGTGTATTGTGGTATGGGATGATCTCGCCCGTCTTGCCCGGTATAAGCTAGCAGATGCTGTCTTCTGCCACGTCTATTATGATGCGGGCGGTGGTGAACAGATGGCTGCCATAGCCGGTCTGGGATGCGTTGTGCACGATTGGGTGGATCTCGGAGCCGATGTGATGTGCGGAGAAGTCAGCAATATCATCCCCTCTCTGACACGCGGATCTCTGGAGGAGGCACCATTGGCAGAGGTCTACGCGCGTCTAATCGGTGCGATGATTTGGTACCGAGACAATGATCCATACAACCCGGCAGGCCTCTGCATTCTGTTCACGCACTGGTGGCAGCTCTCCAATTGTCGACACAGACCTGTCACTCTTCTTGGCAGGACAGACTTCGGGGTGGGCGCGGCAATTTCCGCCATCGTCCCGGCAGAGAGGCCCTCATTGGAACACTTCCGAGCATCCGGAACTCAAGTCGAGCGTGGGGAGCGGGCCCTTGCTAACGCTGAGGCACGACTGCAATCTGTTATTTCCTCTGATCCATTACCGGAAATCCGTGCTGTTATTGATACCCTGGTAAAGCCTGTCATCGCGTACGTGAGAGGGGCTGATACTCTACCCTATGAGAGCGAGTACGTGGGGCTCGTCCTCGCTGCTGAGGTGGCCTATCCTCACGGGCAGAAGATCACTGAGCTCTGGGATCTTGCTATCGTCATGTGGGAGTGTGGCGCCATGTGGGCGGCTGGAGTGGCAAGTCTCTGCTACACTCACACCGGAAATGCCAACTGTGACCGGGCTCGAGGTGACTTGGCTGACACCACTTGGACGTGATTGCGTGTCCGCTACTTCCCCTTGAGTGCAGGAATGGCGCGCTATGTATGTTCCATTTGTTGAGATGCCTCCTGCTGGCTGACATTTCAGACAGATACTTGTTTGACAGACCGACTCTTTCAGTTGCCAGTTTGCTAGTTTGCTGATTTCTTGGGTTTCAAGGACTATATTGTCCCTGGTTTTTGCTAGCTTCTGAGAATCATAGCTTTCCCTCTTCTTCCTCCTTTTCTCTCCCTCTCTCAGTAGCCTCATCACTGTTTACTTCTGTCGAATGACCCCAAATACAGTTGGCAGGCGGAATTTATAAATCTTAACAAAGAGCTCGATATGATGTCTGACACACTCGTGTTGACATATTCAGATTGCTTAGGTCAATAAAATCGCGCTTAGTGATATCTTGGGTATTTTATCATGTTGCCTTTAGACTTCTGTAATAAATGCTGAACTATCCATCACTCGCTCTCCTGAAAAATGGATCTATATGGAGTGTATAGTACTTCATAAATTAACCACAAATACAATCCAAAGAGCAAGGCCGATGCCAAAGGTAAAAGCCAACAGTATCCCTTTGACCAATATGATGATTCGTTGCAGAACAGGGCCATGTATATACTCTCAGAGCTAAATGCCACGCACGGCACGGTTTCGACCCCGGGGCTACGACCCGGGGGCCGAGATCATGTATGCTCATGTATGCCGATCCCTCAAACAATTGTTTCAAGCCATTTCTTCAGACCTTTCCTTCAGAATATAATACAATCTGAATTGTTGCTCGCATATGGTTGTAGTCACTATCCCACCGCCATATTGCCCGAGAATGGATAGACTAGCGTGGCTTGGGTTGGCTTGGGCTGGCTCCTTACTATGCTGGAATGTTGATATGCAGCCAACACACTTGAGCCGCGCTAGAAAATTCTCATATGCGCTGGCTTTGGGATTAGTCAGAGAGGGGTCTGTGATAAATCCGGCATGAAATGAGAGATCACAATTAATAAGCGCGAATGTAACTAATTTCTCAAAGGAGCTGTGTTGCTCTCGCTTTCCCCTCCCACTATCCCATGAGCTATGTCTTATCCCCTTAAAAACACATCCATACCAGTCCATACGGGGCTAAAGTTGGGCAGTGATGAGCCTGCTTGGACCACAAACCTTTACTTGCTACTCGTCTCATCTGCTTTGGGAGTCCTTGCGGCGTTCGTAGCCGTAGTAGCTCCGTACTCTTGGGCCAGTGCTCGGCCGAAGAGCTTCCCCCAGGCCCCAAGCCAGTGCCATTCTTGGGCAACTTGAATGTGATTCCTCCTTCAAAGTCCTTTACCCTGTCAGTTCCAGATTCTTTAGATTGGGACCCTTCCTCTTCCCATTGATTTTACGTCGAACTGATAGCCATATCAAATGTAGTTTCCATCAATGGACTCGGAAATACGGTCCCATAATCGGTCTCAAATTCGGACCAGCAAACGTAGTGGTCTTGAATAATTGGAGAGATGTCCAAGAGTGAGTATTTTTTCCCGACTTCTATGCCGATGATAACAATGAACGCTTCTGCATCTGCTAGACTCCTCGAGAAGCGCAGCGGAATCTACTCATCTCGGCCCCCGAATTATATTGCCAACGAACTAATCTGCAAAAACCAAACGCACATCCTTTTTACTCCTTTTGGAAACACCTTTAGAAAGATGCGCAAATCTACCCAGGGTCTCTTTTCGCCTCGTGAGCTCGCGTCTGTGCTCCCCGTTCAACTAGCAGAGGCCTCCCAGACGGCGTATGATATTCTCCGCACTCCTGATCGATATTATGAACACATCCAACGATATACTACTGCAGTGATTCTGGCAGCCGTTTATGGCCAACGGGGTGAGGCCTTCGAGTCTCCCAACGTTCAAGCTCTTTATGATGTTCAGAACCGTTTCACCGCGCTCCTAGAGCCCGGTGCGGCCCCTCCAGTTGATGGTATCACTTTCCTTAAGCATATCCCCGAGTTTCTTGCCCCATGGAAGCAAAGGGCAAAGCATATACGACGCGACCAACGTGAAATCTACTCCAGGCTGTACAACTCAACTAAACAACGCATGAAAGACGGAATACGAGTAGGATGCTTTATGGAGAAGCTTATCGACGACCAAGAAAAGAATGGAATGGATGACGAGCACACAACATACCTTGGTGGAACGTTCATGGAGGCGGGCTCCGATACAACATCATCCACTCTTTTGTCATTTCTTCTCGGCACACTCGAGAATCCAGTTGCCCTGGAGCGTGCGCAGGCAGATGTAGATCGGGTCTGCGGCTTGCAACGATCGCCCGCTTTGGAGGACTTGGAAAATTTGCCATATATCGAGGCTTGCATGCACGAGGTATACAGTTCTACTCCGGTCCCCAGATATGCCTGACCATATATGGTAGATTCTCCGCTGGAGGCCTGTTGCAGCGGGTGGCATCCCGCACATGCTTACACAAGAAGACTCCTACAAAGGCTATGTATTCCCGGCTGGGACTATCTTCTTCGCCAATTCATGGGCTATCCAACACGACGAAAACGAGTATGATGAGCCTAGTCTCTTTAACCCCGACCGATGGCTTGGAGGGAACACGTACGGTACCAAGAGCAGCGTGAAAATGGAGCCAAACGAACAGCGCAAGACATCCTACGGCTGGGGCGCAGGACGCAGAATTTGTCCTGGCCAGCGGATGGCGGAGTTTTCGTTGAAGATCAATATTGCCAAGTTGGTGTGGGCGTTCAACATCGAGCGCGATACGACTGCAGGCCCACCTGATGTCTCTGTAGAGACAGGTTACGAGGGAGGATTCTTGATCTGTCCCAAGAAGTTCCCTCTCAAAATCACACCAAGGAGCAAGGCTCATGCGGCTGTCATCGAGTCTGAGTTTGAAGGGCTCACGCGTTATTATGAGAAGTTAGCGGCCTAGGCCAGAATATATATAAGCAAAGTGCACTAAGACAAAAGCTTCAATACTATAACTTTCTTGTGGGCATATAAGAGACGAAGGGGACATTGCCCTTTCGAATAAGTTATCAGTGACTTCAGTGTATATGGAAATGTGCAAGTGTTCGGCCGGTGCCGACGTGAGCGGAAACTCGGTCAACGCCGGACATGTGGAGTGATGCAGCGATAAGGAATTTAAATGTGCGGGGAAGAACTTTCGATTCGCATTTCCCAATTTCAACTCTTCAATTTCACCTGCAATTCACTCAGACAGTCTTCCTTTCAATCCAATACCAAAAATCAATACCGGAGCGATGGGTAACGACCAGAGGGTTGGTGCCTATTATGCACCCAAGGGCGGGTTGCCACCGCAGACACAGATCCTCACCGACCGTGCCATGTTCACCGAAGCATATGCGGTAATCCCGAAGGGCACATTCAGCGACATCGTGACCAGTTTCCTCCCATTCTGGGAGAAAACGCGGTTATGGGTGATTGCCCGTCCGTTGTCGGGCTTTGCCGAAACATTTTCGCAATACATCATGGAAGTGCAAGCCGGAGGCGGTAGTGACCGTGGTGAAACGGATGACAGCGCGCAAGGTGTCGTGTTTGTTGTCGAGGGCGAAGTGACAATCACTCTGGGAACCGAGAAACACACGCTGACCGAGGGCGGCTATGCCTATCTACCACCGAAGAGCGGCTGGACCCTTCATAACACCGGCGCGACCACCGCCCGTTTCCATTGGATACGCAAGGCCTACGAATATGTGGAGGGAATCGATACTCCTGATCCGCTTTTCCTCAATGAAAAGGAGATCCCGCCCACGCCGATGCCGAACACCAACGATACCTGGGCAACCACTCGATTTGTGGACCCGACCGATCTGCGCCACGATATGCATGTCACCATTGTCACCTTTGAGCCCGGTGGTGTCATTCCTTTCGCAGAAACCCATGTTATGGAACACGGGCTTTACGTGTTGGAAGGTAAAGCCGTGTACAGACTCAATCAGGACTGGGTGGAGGTTGAAGCAGGTGATTTCATGTGGTTGCGTGCCTTCTGCCCGCAGGCTTGTTACGCGGGTGGCCCTGGAAAATTCCGCTACCTGCTCTACAAGGACGTGAATCGTCAGATGAAGTTATCGCGGCCTTAATGGCCAAACGCAGTGTCTTTAGCAGGTCTTGAACTTGTTAACCATCTGATCGACCCGAAAAAGGGGTCAACAGATGTTCTATTCTATTTGTATCTAGCATAATATGGTAAAATATTTTCTTGAACACTGTGGAGACAGTGGATGCCTTGGTGCCTCAGAAATCTGTACCACTGTTGAGACATCCATGGGTGCCTGGGTGCCTAGGTAGTCAGGCTTCCAAATTTTGTCGGAGCATGAGATCGGCATACCGGAAGTTTAGTTTATCCTGTCCACGCAGTATTGTTGATATTAGTCAGAAAGTCATATTTCCTGCTAGAATAGTGGATACAGAAATACAGAGATTTCAACTCCCTTGATTGGACCCCTATTATACTGAATACCACGTCAGTTGACAAGTTTGGGTACTTAGCTCAGATAGTAAGGATAAGATCCATCCTCATGTCCTACAAAATACCTAGGTATCTTTCCCACACTAGAGGTGTAAGAGACAACAATAACGTAGATATACGAGAACATGTCTCAAAAAGAAAAACAAACCATCCAAAATTTCTTACAACCTATTGTATTCTCACGCGACCTAATAGTGAACAGTCAACCACAAAACTTGACTATTGATTCCCTAAACTCTTCATGCTATAAATTCCGTTATCCCCGTCAACCTGCCCAGAGCAGAAAGGTACGACATCCCATTTTCACCCAACTCACCAAGCTACCTAGGTACTCAATCAAAAGAACTGTCCGCCTCTCTGTCCACCTTCATATCCTGTATCTTGAACTCGAGTCCTGTATTTCCAGACGTCAATACAACAATCCAGCCAAAATGACAGTGATATCCTCTTTCCCTCCTGGCGAGCGACAAGATATTAAAGTAAATATATTTAGACCGTTGCTAGCTGAATGACCACCACTTGCTTTGTGTGATATTCGATTTCAACAACCCCTGCCATACACGATACCAAAGACCGTTCGCGTCGCTCAGCGTACTAAACAACACTCGTATAACGACCCCGTTAGCTCGATGTGCCTCCCTATGCGCCAAGGCAGGCCGTTCTGACCCAAATGAATGCAACTAAGGGAGTCCGGCCATTTACATGGCTCAACTGGGTTCTGAAGCTTCAAGCCATATGACGACCCGATTCCGCCTAATTTTCGGGACTTGAATCGAGATCTTTGTTCTTGTAACATCTCTGCATTTGTAAATTATCTCACCTCTTCGTTATCCCAGGTGCCATGTTGGATGCTAGTGTTTCCTTACATGTAGCGATCCATACCCTCATTCTTCATTGCTCTCTGCCTTTGCTAATTCACTTGATTACTAGTGGCTCAGCTCCACATAAATTCTTGACGTTTCACTTCTCCATCGCCTTGGATACATCGCAAACCCGTACATCCTAAATGATCAAATGGCAATACATAACTCTTGAGAGCTTGTATATCGCCCCGCGATGAGTCAAGTAAACGGCTTTTGATCCGAATGGTTTCTTCTACTTTAACGTTTTGAAGTTGAGCGAACAACTTAGAGATTCTTAATGATATGATATCCCCTAGGTATCGTAGGTGGCAAAAACATACAACAGTGAGGATTCGCTGGTGGTCACCCACCCAACTACTAACTCACCGGCGTGTGGTTTAAGTAAGGCTGAGTAGACGGGAAGCCCTGTTTTCTACACCCTATCGTCGTATATACTAAACCAATAGTTAAGTGACATTATAAAGTCTAGACCTGGAGTTAATTTAGTACTAGGTAGGTAAGAAATGGATAAGCGCCACTCTAAAGTTGCGCGATCCGGGGTGAGAAAGGTGAGTGATGTTACAACCTAACGTGCGTGGAGTACGAATATGGTGCGCATATATCTTGTAGCACATATCGGGTATTTAGGTTTTTTTTAGTACCTTACCATTACTTCCCAGTTTTGCAACGTGGTGTCAGGCCCACTTGCCTTAACAAGTGAACTATAAATAGGCTGAGAATCACGTCTACAAGTCGCGCGACCACTATATTGACCCCCAACCTTCATAGTCAGCCTCTCTAGATAAAACTACAATAGCCTAAGACCTTTGACATGGTTATCGTGCTGAAACAACTCATGGAAGGTTGGACGTTCTGGTAAGAGATGTGATTACTAGTATCTACAGTCATTTTTCAGGAAAGCTATGCAGAAAGTTGGCTATATTTCGTTTTCTAAAGGAGTAGAGAATATTCGCTTGATTTTTGGACATCAGCTGCTGTGTCGGGCATGGACCATTCGTCAATAACTTCTATGAATCGAACCTCTCAATCCCAGTGGCATCGAAAGGCCATTTTATCAACGGCCTCCATTCAGGATCCAATGTCTGATTAATCGCATGAAGTACACGCTGGCCCCAAGATGAAAGCCACCAAAGCCATCTTAGACGGTGAAGCACAACACAGTAATGTGCAAATATAACCAGTGCAACGGGATGGCGTTTTTGCAATAAATGAGAAAAATGAGATGGAATGTCACAAATCCACATGAAGGTTTTCGAAATTGGCTCCGCATCACTGTCTATACCAGCGAAAAGATCTTCGAGGCGACAGATGGCTAGATGTGAAGCCTGGCAATTCTCCTGATCCGGTATGTGGATATTGTTGAGCTCGTATAGAGCCGATATTGCCGAGCTGGATGCCTCGGATAAACTCGGGCTAGTTTCTTCAATATAGGTCAATTGACTCATATCATCCGACTTGACTCCTGTCAGTATGGGGACCGAGAAATGCATCGTCGATTTGACCAGGGTAATGATCTGAATTATTTCACCCAAGGGATCGGATATCCCTTGGCCTGGTCCAGCGATCGCGAGTGGAAAGGCGAAAGCGAAGCCGATCAAAAGACTGGAGAGAAGAAAATCTCCAATGTGTTGAGACTGATGCTTCTCTTGCATGAGGCTAGCATATAAATTGATTGCTTCACTTTGATGGTGTTCAGCGGTTCTGATCCATTGCTCGCGCTCGCTGTCTTGTGGATTGACAAGTGCGAGATGAATTGCCGAGACAGCAAAAATGCCATGCAACAGATGTGGATTCGAAGATGCCTCGTTGGGAACTATTGTCTGCCATATTCGAATATCTGAATCGTTTCTAGATATTGTGAGAGCAGTTGCTGTTTTCCAATGCCGAAGCAGTTTAGAATGGAGATCGTCTAGATCTTCGGTAGAAACTCTAGGAGGGAAAGCAGAGCCAGAGACCATGCTATTCACACAATTAACCTGCGCTGATGAATCCGAGTAGAAGACAACCTCTGGGTACTGCGTAGAGCTGTGCTCAGCGGCAGCAGGTTTCGTCCAGCGCCAAGGACCAGAAGAATCATACTGGCAGGCCTCTAAGCGGTCTTCGCATTTAGTGCATTTGGGCTGCTTTTCATCACACTAAGTCCAGGTCAATAGAATCTGCATGAAGCACAAATTCCGAGGAAAGAAGATATACCTTGACACTTCTTCGCTTGCATTGAAGGCAGCCATGATGTGAGTTGCGCGGAGATTTCCGACGAGGCATGTGCGTAGCTCAAGCTCTAAATAATTATTCACGGTATTGTTAGAGAGATGATCCTGTACGACTACTCATAAGGAAAGGAGTGGACTGGAAAATCTCGTATTTGCGTGGAGAGAGAAAAGGAAGAAGGAAAGCTAGCTAGACTACGACTAATGTGCTAGGAGATCACGTGTCTTCGCAATAGGTATGTAGTTGAAAACTAATCTCGACTATGTAATGGCTAGCAGGATGTCTAAGACTAGAATGAGGAAGTTAGTTTTGCCGCCTGTCGGAGTATGAGATCGGCATACCGGAAGTTTAGTTTATCCTGTCCACGCA